AAGTGACTGTCTATTGATGATCCATTACATCCAAGAATATTTTGGCCCTATTATTATTTATAACATTTGTTTTTTCTGTCTGTTTGAAAAATTATGTAATTCTTTACAGTATGCATCTCTCTACAGAATATCTCTCTCTTTAGATATTTTTTATTTTCTCTCGCTAAAGATATTTTTAGTGAAATAAAGCCTATGGTATGTATAATTCCCTAGCTTTCCCCCACTTAGTATCTATTTTACAATATTTCCCCAAAGTGATTTTGACTCAAGCCAATTCCATTTTATATAAAACATCACTTCTTATTTGTCTGTTGCATCATCATACATAGTACTGCTCTACTATCTTTACTTTTATTTTTAACTTTTTAGGAAAGAACATACCCTTTGAAATTTGTATTCCACTAATGACTCTTTTTCTTCTGTGCTTCTGTCATTTCTGTGATAACCATCTCTATATCATGCACCAATAGTTCAAGCTGCTCCATTATACTAAACAGACTCTTCATTTGTGTATCAACATCTCAAGTTGTTTCTTTCTGACCTCAGCCAAATTCGTAGCTGAATTAGGTAGTTTTTAATCACTTAATTATTAGTGGATTTCATTCCAAAAAATATAGGAGCATCTTGAGTCAAAGATCGAAGTAAGTAATCATTGGAACAAATCATAGTTCCTATTTTTTGTTGATAAAAAGTCTGGAAATTTTTAAAAAAGCTTAGAAAATTGACATAAGCCGTGATAAAAATGCATTTAGGGAGAGCATGTGTTGATTACAACATTAATTAGTCTTAAAGGAAAAATGACTTCTGAAGACTGTGGGTCTTGTGTCCATTACATCAGTAGACCTGGGTATTTTAGGAGAGGACTTTCCACCATAAACTGAAGCTTAAAGACTGTCTGCTATGTGAAATTTGGATATACTGATTATCCATAACCCTTAGATCTATCCAATGGGTCCAACAGGAACAAATGTGATTCTTGAGACATTAAAGGGTAAATTTAAAATGGAAATGGATACTATAAATGTGAAGACAACATGAAAAAAAGTGCTTCTGTGTCAGGTCAGTACAAAAAACCGCTGCAAGTAGATAAAGGACTTCTTCCAAAAGCTATGCCAGCTGTACCAGTTTCCTACCAGCCAGTATATCCCAAATAGGGATATATTGCTACAAATTCTGAGCAAGGGTGTGGTTATGAGGGAATCTGGGTTTTCTCTGATAAAAAAAAATCCACAATTTTTGGACTAAAAAAAGAAAAAGTAACCCCAAATCCACATTTTTCCATGAGCATAATGAAACACCAATATATATAGATCTAGATATAGACCTGTATAACAGTGGTATTTCATTTTGGTCATGAAAAAATGTGGATTATTCCCAGCAGCTCCTATTATATATAATAGTAGTTTTTCATTATGATCATGGAAAAATGTGGATTTGGGATTATTTTTTTTAATTCGAAAATTGGGGAATTTTTTTAATCAGAGGAAATCAGGAACTCTGGTGCTTATACATCAGAGTTAGTAGGTGCTAATTCTAAGGAATGTTAGCCTGTATTAAGGTTAACAAGTGCTAGTGATCAGTCACATGTTCAGGCTTAATACCCTTTCTAATGTGAACTGCTCAGGCCTGCTAGAGCAGGGGTGGGCAAAGTTGTGGATCAGGCCTGTGGCCAGACTGCGTTTCCCAGCAGCCCCTGCCCACATCACTGTGGCTGGTTTGCATGGAGATCCCAGCAGTGTTGGGGCTGGTCCAGGGTTTCCATGGAGACTGGCCCCAACAGTGCTGGCAGGGTGTGAGGCATGGAGGGGCTCCATGGCCAGGGCTGGGATATTGCAGTGGTGACAGTGGTCTAGAGCTAGGGCAGGGCAGCGACACACTACAGCCAGGGTGTGCAGGCAGCAGATCACAGTTCCGCCCCAGTTCTGAACCATGCTGTCACCACTGCAAGACCCCAAGCCCAAAGTAGGTTCCTGCCCATTGCTGGGTCTCCATAGTAACCAGCGATGGTGACATTGGTAGGGGCTGTGGGGAAATGAAGTCCCTGGTGGACCTGATCTGGCCTGAGGGCTGGACTTTGCCTACCCCTGTGCTAAAGAGTTAGCAAGCAGGGGTGTGGTTAGGGCTACAAGTCTGCTTCTTGCCTGCCCTGATTTTCAGTTCTCTAGCCACAGTATAGATTGGGGTGGAGGAGGGGTTGTAACAGGGGGCCTGCTTGGGGCCACTTTCCCTGCAGCCTGCCCACCTGTTCCTAGGCTAACCGCTCATGCTCTTGCCCTCCACGCCTTGTTGGTATAATTAATTAATAGATGTTAATAAGTGGGAGGCTGCCCATTTTCTGCCCCGATGCCAGGGGGCGCTATTTGCAGCTCCTTTCCTCCCCTACACCGCTGCCCAAGCCTCGCAGATGGCATCTCGATGTTCCATTAACCATTGGTCCATACAGTGGGTTCCAGAATCCTCCTGTTGAACCCCACCTGGATTCCTCTTCCTCAGGCAGCCTCTTCCGCCATCATACCGGGCAGCATAACTTCCTGAGCTGGTTCCCCTTCTGGTGTGGTTCCCCCCACCTCCAGGCCAGTCGAGACCCTAGGCCCTCAGCTCTTGGGCATCACTCGCAGTGGGCCTCCGGTCCTTCAACCCTTCCGGTCCTGGCTCCAGAATGGGCCAGTCAGGGGAAACTCAGACAGGCCCGAGTCTATGGCCCTTTTCTCATTTTCCGAGGGTCCACTCTCTAGGCCCTCCAAACAAAGGGGTAACCCACCCGGTTGTGGGGGCTAGGGGTTAAGGCACCCCGACCTGCTTTTCACTGGGGTGGTAACTGGTCTGGCATTTCCGGGGGGTTCCCATGCCACTGGGAGCCCCACCAGGCCACCCACTCCTGGCAGGGTGCAGTTTTAGGTCATACCCAGGACCAGGAGCCTCCTATCCATCCCCTACAGCTCCTCCCTTACCTCCAGCCAGAGGATGTTGCTGCCTGGGGTCATACAATCCTGGTTGATAGCTAGTCCATGTGGTAGAAGTGTCTCCTGGGATAGTTAAGGACTGCATACTGGTGGCTTTATCTCAGGTAAACGCCCAGAATATAACTTAATTCAAGATAGGTAGCACAGCTCAGAGATAATCCTTGCCCAAAGTGGCATAACTTTAAGATGCCTAGAGGGCACTTAGCACTTGTTAATGAACCTTCATGTGTAATCTTTCACATTTTAAATGCTCTTAACATGTTTTCATTGAAATTTGTAATTTTATTCCGAGTCTCTACTGTCTGATTCCAAAAAGGGCCCAAAAAATTTAATACAAGAACTAGCTTGAATTCTCTATCCACAAAAGTTTGAACTCTCTCTTTGTCTCCCCCCTACCTTCCCCTTATTCCATACTCTGGAATTCTTTGGTTTTGGCTCCTCTTCACTTTGACCATCTGGTTCCTATACCAGGGCATCTCTAGCCTCCTGAAACATAGCACTATGTGCCCATTCCCAGCATGCAGGGGCATCTGCAGAAGAGGTGTCCCCTCTCTTCACTAACCACTGATCCACATGCTGTGGTGGTGCCTGATGGGTTTGGCACTTCCATTGGCCACAGCCCTAATTGTTGGTCTCCCAGTTAAGGTGACAGCATATGTCAATGATGTGACTGTTTTTGTGAGCAGTGAGGATAATGTCTAGTCCTTGATCGAGTGTCAGCAGTTTACAAGTGTGCCTCTGCAGCCCATATCAAGTGGGCCAAAAGCAATATGTTTTTGCTGGGCACCTGGACTGAAGCTTACTCCTCAGATCTCCTTTGGAGACCTAACCTGGTGCTTCAATTACTTCAAAGCTCTGGGCATTTTCCTACATCCATTGGCCTATGTAGCCAAGAACTAGAAGAGCTTCAGTAAGGAATTTGAGGTGTGACTATAAAAATGATGCTAGCTCTTGTCCAGCCTGTCCTACCACAGCTGGGTCCTGGTCATCAACAACCTGGCAGCTGCTACTATATGGCATGGGTGTGCTGTCCTGCATCCACCAATTATTCTGTTCAAAAGGCTCCTGAAGCTTCCCCTGAAACAGGCACCACTGGCTCCAGCAGGCTGTTCTCTACCTACCCACCAATGAAGGGAGATCATGGCTTGGTTGACTTGGTGGGCAGAGTGGCTTACTTCTGCCTATAAGCCCTTCAGCTCTTTCTCTTTGCTGGTGAACCCTTCCCCAGGTGATGTCTGGCTTTAGCTTTCCTGCATCAGGTCAGAGACATCAATTTCATTCAGGAACTTTTCTTCTTAAATACTGATTGCCTGAGTTGGGATGACCTCATGCCCTTCTACTGTAGTCTTGCCTGGACCTAGAAGGCCCCCTTTTGACTAAGACCCCAGGATAGGCACTTATAATATGCAGAGCTACTGGATGTATAAAATACGTGTGTAAAAAGTACAGAAGTAATTTAGAAAAGGCTAATAATAGGAAATAGGAATTTTCTGTGTCTTCAAATCATCTGGAATTTCTGTCCCATCTTAATATTACCTCAAGGTACAGGTGCTTACCATAGAGACATGATTTCTGTTTACAGATTTTTTTTAGTCAATAATCAAGTTGACATTGTGGTCTTTGTATGCATTGCTTTTGATAAAATATAGGTAAATTCTGCTTGCCATATACACAATTGAATTTGAAATCAGTGGGGTTTTTGTATTGATAAGATGCAAAACATTTAATCTAACACATTTAACTTATTTTTATTGGTGCTTGATAAAAAATAATTATTTCCATCAGCCAAACATTTTCATATTAATAAGCAGAGTTCCGTTTACAGATCAATTGTTTCCTTTTCTCTTTAGTGGGCAAATATCCCCATTATCCTTCAGTAAGCTTTTTATACACTAACAAGTATCCTGATTCACAGCTGCATGGCATCATTAATGTTTAATTGAAGGTTTATTGTGGCAGGATACCTGCTATTTTTTAAATAGAACTGCATAATGTTCAAATATAATAGCCCCAGTATCCTTCTTTGCTATTCTCTAGATACCCAGAACCATTTATGGCATACTTCCTACCAGGCAGCGACCCAGAATTTGTTGTATTGCCTCAAGATGGAGAACTTCTTCCACTTGACACTGTTGGAACCCATATAACTGTAGGATTCAAACCAAGTATGTACAGCAAGAAGCACAAAGCAATATTAGTGATTCAGGTAAGTCCTTACAGAATGAAATCATAACAGTGACTTTGCTGTACTATTGTCATGGATCGAGGCATTTTCTTCATGGCTAAGTTGTTTAAAAAATACTGTTGGAGAAGGGACAAAAATAAAAACAGGAAACCAACTCATGGAAGCTTTACAAGGAGGTTTTTGATTTTAGCTGTCTCATATTTTTGCTGTCTTCACAGTAACATTCCTAGAAATAATTTCTATTTAGATCCATGCACCTCAATGTTACCAGTGTAAAATAGCGCATCTCAATGTTATCAATGTAAAACAGCTTTAGAAAAGGATTGTAAAAGCCTATCATAATAACACAAAAAATGCCATACTGGGTTAGACCAGTTGTCCATCTAGCTCAGTATCCTGTCTCCAACAGTGGCAGAAGAGGATGATTTAGAAAAGCATTATCCAACATCCAGGAAGCCAGAAGCCACATGCTGTAGTGCTGTAATCTCGGGGCCCACATGAAGCACAGGCTACAGATAAGGTCTGCTTGCTGTGCAGGCAGTCCTGCAGCAGGCTTTCATCTGTTTCATCTGGACAGACTAGCATGACCCTTACCCGTGTGCATACTATGCAGGCAACCTGGCACGTACCTTTCTTATGCACACCATAAGCAGCCTGGCCCCCTTCCCTGCTGTAGGCACAGGACAGGCACCCTATGCCCCTCTATGCACAAAACTCCACCCCAGTCTCCTCCCATTATATTGCCCCACCCCCAGAATTAGGGACAGAAGGTAGAAACCAGAGAAGGGGAAACTTAAAGACCCTGGTTCCCACAGCAGGAGCAACAAGGAGGGGAAGGGGGAACAGTAGCAGCTATAGTGGGGGCCCATGGGCTATATGTGGTCTTTGAGCTACCAGCTAGATAGCCCGGCTTTAGAGAGAGAACACTGAACTGAGTATATCTAGAGTGATCATTAGTTTAGAGATGCCAGAGGGTACACCTCTCACTGTTCTGCTTAATAGCTATTAATGTATCAGTTATCCATACATTTGTCTAGACTTTTTTTTTAACTTGGCTATTATATCTGTTTCTACAGGCATCTGTGTCAGCGAGTTCCACAAGTTGACCATGCACTGTGTAAAAGAGTACTTTCTTTTGTTAGTTTTAAACCAGTCTCCTATTCATTTCAGTGACCCCTCCATAGTTCTGGGACTTGATGACTGTTGGGCCCCTCCCTATTCATGTTGTCTGCATTCTTTGTGGTTATATAGATCTCTGTCATATTTCTCTTCAGCCTTCTCCTTTCCAAAATGAAGGGTCCTTTTAGTCTTTCCTGGTATCCTGATAATTTTGGTTGTCCTTCTCTGTGTCTTTTCTAATTCTACTACATGCTTTTTAAGATGCAGAGATCAGAACTGCATGCAGTGTTCAAGATGCACACAGAACTGCACACTATAAAATTCACCATGAATTTGAACAGTGTCATGATGATGTTTTCTGTTTTGTTTTCAATTCCCTTCTTAATGATGCCTAACACTTTATTAGCTTTTTTGGTCACCGCACATTGAGTTGATGTTTTAGGGAACTATCTACTATGTCTTTTTCCTAAGTTGTAACAGTTGGTTAAGAAACCAGCATTATGTATGTATACTTGAAGTTATTTTTCCCTATTGCATTACCTTGCACTTGAAGTTTTTGGCTGCTTACAGACATTGAAAAAACCAAAAAACCAAAAAACTTGCTTTACGGGAAGCAGCAGCACATTAGTTGGATCCGGCTCCACAACATATAGCTCAGGTACTTCAGCAGGACTTTTTGGCACTTTTCTCTAATAGCTGGTTCAATCAGCTATTAGATAAAAGTGCTGGAAAACCCCACTGAAGTGCCCAATCTATACAGACGTTGGGTGAACTGGGTCCAATTAACACAGTACCTCCTCTGGGCATGTGCTTGGCTTGGTGCAGCACTATGCCAAGTTTAAAGTGCTGTTTGGGAGGGTGGGGGAGCTGGTTACATCTGTAAGCAGCCAGTCTGTCCTTTTTTTGCCCAGTCACTTAACCTTGCAAGATCTTTTTGCAGCTTCTCCCCTGCATTTTAGGATTTGACTACCTGGAATAATTGAGTATCCTTTTCAAACTTGGAAATCTTATCCCCATTTCCAGAAGATCAATGAAATGTTGAACTAAAACAGACCAAGCACAGACCTCTGTGAGACCCCACTTTTTAGCTCCATCCATCCTGAAAAGTAACTATTTAGCCCTACCTTTGTTTCCTATCTTTCAATCAGCTCTCAATACATTAAATAACCTTCTATCCAATCTTGTGGCAACTTGATTCTTTGAACATTTCTTAGTGAGGGACCTTGTTGAAATCTTTTTGAAAATCCAAATATATTCTGTCAACTGGATTTCCTTTGTCCATGTGCTTCTTAACACCCTGAAAGAACTTGAGCAGTTTGGTGAGGCAGGTTTTCTGTGTACAGAAATCGTGCTGACTCTTCCTCAGCATATCATACTTCTCCACGTCTGCTGATTTTATTCTTTATTATAGTTTCTGCCAACTTTCAAGGGATGAAAGTGAGAGTCACTGGTCTGTAGTTCCCAGGATCACCTGTGGAGCCCTTTTTGAAGATGGGTTTTATGTTGGTAACCTGCCAGTCCCCTGGCACAGAGGCCATTTGTAACAAAAGGTTACATACTATTGCAAACAGTTTGCAATTTCACCTTTGAGTTCCTTAAGAACTCTCAGGTGAATGCCATCTCATCACATATTAGTATGTAACTTCTCGTTTTGATCTAAAACGTCTTCTGTTGTCACTTCAAGGTAATCTCATTTTACAAATCTATCTGCTGGGAAGGATCTATCTGGTGTGGGAATTCCCACAATAATTTCTGCAGTAAAAATTGAGACAAAGAGTTGATTTAGCTCTTTGCTATGACCTTATCATCTCTTTTATGGCTAAGTCATTTAATGGTCTCTTGTTGACTTCGTATTTCTAATGTATTTTAAAACTTTATAAATTAATTGTAGGACCTTTTGCAAGATGTTCCTAAGATTCTTTTTTTGGCCTGCCTTATTTCACTGTTACATGTGCTGTGCCAGAGCGTATGAGCTTTCCCATTTTCCTCATATGGGGGCATACCTTCCGTTTATTTGAAGAATTCCTTTTTGCCTTGAATGGTCTCCTCAGCTCTGGTATAAAACCCCCATTCAGGGGTTTTATTGTTTTATTGGACTGCCTTGATACCCTTCTTGATTTATGCTATATAATTGTCCTGAGTGTCTAATACTGTATTTTTAAAACAGTTTCTAGGCTACCTGCAGGGTTTTTACATATTTGACTGCTCCATTTAACTTTTCTTCCTCCTTTTTATGTATTCTTTTTTCTTTTTAAAGCTGTATATTGGCATGGTGCTTTTTTTGTTTGTTTTGGGTTGGGTTGCTTTTTGACCTATTCCATGCCAGTAGGATGTTGAATTTTATTACGTTATGGTCACAGTTACAGAGTGCCTCATTTACAGATATTTCTTGAACCAGGTACTATATGTTACACAGGATTAGGTCTAGAATTCCTTCAGTTTTTGTGTGTTCCAAGATGAGTTGTTTTAGAAAGCAGTTATTATTTTTAGAAATTTTATCTCCATATCTTGCTCTGATGAGGTGTTTATCTCAAAAGTAACAGTTGTCAGAAAGAAAGAAAATCTTTAAGTTAATTATTAATGAAAGTTAGATGAGCAAGAAATAGAAAGTCCCTATCTTTGTTTATATTATATATTCATATTATGTTTTCCAGCCCCTCACAACTATAAAACTGTCTTATAGAATAAAAGGTTCTAAAATTATCCTGGAGATACAAAATGTCACAAAAGGGGATTTTGGAAAATAATAGAAGTTAAGAATGGGTGGATCAGAAAGAGAGAGAATGGCAAAATAAAAAACCAACTATGAGATTTATGCAATTTCTTTTTTTTCCCTCTCTGGAAAAGAGAGACATCATGGGCTCATTACAGAAAGGGGACAGGTTTTGTTTCCCTCTCAAGTGATATTTTCTATTAAAAATAAATTCTTCATTTAAAAATAAAGAATGCTTTAAAAGAAATCTGTAGTCCAAATGGCTAGAGCCATGTAATCCCATAAAAAATGACATTTTTGAAAGTCCTTGCAGAATTTTGGCTGTGACAGCACACCCTTTTGGGTGTCTGTCACTTTAAGGGCTGGCACAGGTTGCTACCAGGTGGCTGATGAGGGTGGCCATTTTAGAGCTCAGCTCTGAGGAGTCGAGAGCAGTTTGAGACCAGCCAGCAGGGAAGAAACATCTCTCTGCTGAACTCTGGCTCCAGAAACAACTTGGAGGTAAGGGTGAGGCTATGGGAAAGGAGGAGGCCTCATTGGTTTTGTAAAACTGCCCTGCTGGGATAGAGGGCCTGGTGGGACTGCTGGTGGCATGGCAGCCCACTTAGATACCAAGACCGATCACCTACACAGTGTAAGGAGGGTTGAGATGCCTAAACCCCAGCCCCTACCTCCAGGTGGGTTACTAGGAGGTTTAAGTGGGGCCAGGCATGCAGTGTAGCTGCACCTATGAGCCCTATGGGGTGTTAGATCCTGTAGTGAGGGCCAGGCATGCTGAGTGAGCAGAACCAGAGTCCTAGGGATCTAAGACTCCAGCCCTTGGAGAGGGCAGAGTGGAGGTCAGGCACACTTATAGAGAGAGAAGCACCTGAACCTGTTGGGGTGGAAGCCCCCAGGGCTCAGAGAGTAGGGGGCAGAGTTGTGGCCTGAGAGAGAGCATAGTGGTTCAGTGAGGGGCCAGGGGTGAAGTAGGACCATAGTTGAGCAATCGCTCCGTCCTGTTCAGGTGAGGGCCACGTGAGAGGCCCAAAAGACTGTGCTAGGGCTGAGCAAGGGGTGGAGAGTAAAACCTGAGGATCTCTTTGAGTAGAGTGGAGTGAATGTGGCCTGGATAGGCAGTGTGCAAGAGACTGGGTGAGAGCCACTGGAGTGCAAGAGGCCCCGGTGAGAGGGGTGGGGAGGGTGTATG